GGCAAGATCACTGTGGAAAGATATAACTAAAGATAAACCCAAAATACCCGAGTTCAGTGCCAGCCGTGGATGGTTTGATAGATTTAGGTTAACGTATATGAATCCACAACCTAAAAATACAAGGAGACTCAGCTAGTGCCGACCATGAAGCAGCAGAGAAGTTCCCACCGTTCTCGCAACCGGACTCTTCTGGAAGAAAATGCCTTCACGGACCTACATATCTAAGGAGGAAAAGACTGCACCGGGATTCAAAGTTGCCAAGGACCGCCTCCCTCTATTGAATGGTGGCAATGTTGAGGGTGACCTGAAGTTAAAGCCTCTCCATGTGTACCGGTCTGAAACACCCCATGTTCTGAGGGGGGTTGTGAAGGGACAACTTCCTGTCGTGTGGCGTTCAAACCATAAGGCGTGGGTGACAGGGTCTGTGATGCATGACTACATGTTCAACTATGTGTCTGGTCGCATTACTCGCTATAATAAGGCAAGAAAATAATGTTGATGATAAAACTCTTGACGGTGATCGACAATGCACCAGGTCATCCACCAGCTATGGTTGACTGGTGCAAGAACATTAAAGTTGTGTTTTTGCCTTCCAACACCATGGCTTTGCTGCAACCCACAGACCAGGGAATCATCTCTACATTCAAGGCGCTCTACACTCAGCGGATCAAGGAGCAGCTGATTGAGGGGCCGATGGAGAGGGGAAACCTACATCCGGGAGTTTTGGAAAAAACACTACAACATCTGGAAAGCCATAAAAAAACATCAGTGTTTCATGAGAGGCAATAACACAACAGAACATGAACGGTGTGTGGAGTAAGCTGTGGCCAGTGTGTGTACAACTTTGTTGGTTCCCTTCAGTGCCTGCAATAAGGAAGACTATTGAGACTTGCAAAGAAGGCTGGATTCGATGAAGTGGATGATGCTGAAGTAGAAGACCTCCTCAACTCACAATGAAGAACTTGCCAATGAAGACCTGATAGAACTGGAGAGGCTTCAGCAGGAAGAAATGCCACTTGCAATGGAAGAAGATGCTGATGAAACTCCAACACAACTCCTCACTGTACAGAACCCAAGGAAGCTGATTTCTTCATTTGAGATGGTGATGGATATGGCCTTCAACCAGTGGAGTAACAACAGCTTTCAGTGCAAATTGACAGCGATAATGAGTGAGGTGGCTAACGAACCCAGCCTTCTCTCACCCCAGTAAACCTTCACCCTCTCCCCTAAAGCTAACTTCAGCAAGCAAGCAACACAGCACATCAGAGGTAAATTAACAGTCTACGTTTAAAACTTACCTCACACACCTACGCAGATAAACATTTAAACACTCAAACATGTAAAGTATACTGTACTTGTAAACATATACGCCTAATAAACTCTGTTATTGATGTTTATTTGATATTATGCCCTTGTTTCTATATATATTTTATGTTCTATATGTATTGAGTAAAACAAGTGTTAAAACCTGACAGCCATGACCACTGTGATGCCCGTATCTCCCCTATTTACATTATTTCTTATGGGAGAAGTTGCTCCGCTATTCGCAACGAGTTTTATGCCCGTAACCTTTGCGATAAGTGAGGCAGCCCTATACAGTACACAATAATGTACATATGAGGCATTAGAAGAGGGCGAAGCACCACCCAGGGCAAAATGCATTTTTTGGTGGATATCCCTATTTTCACCCTTCCTCTACCTGTTGACGTTGGATGTAACCCTCTAGCTAGAATAGAAATATGGTAGAATGCCCTGCAAAAATAAGGTGTGATTTCGCCTCAGGCCTGGAGCTACGTATCTGGCTGTGCGCTCAGTCAATGAAGGTGGCTACATCCCGTAGAGTGAGAGGAGCAAGCGCCAATGACAGCGTGCCTTCCTTGGACCATACCCTCTGAAGCAGCTAATCACAATGGATTTCCCCTTGCTACGTCACAGCTCCTCGGCAAATCCGTGCGCCCAGATGCTGCCTCCTCCTTAGTTTTGGCGTGTATTTTAGCATCAGGAGGTTCAGTGTACGTTCTGCTGTTATTTTTGAGAACTTTTCGGCATAACATTGACATTATTCGTGTTCCACGGGTGTGAAAATTGCTGTGCAATATCTGCCCGTTATTAGAGCAAGACTCGAGTGAGGCTAGGCCTTCTGGTGTGGGATCAGGAGCCTATTATTCCTGAGCGTGTGTTTAGTGACGACAGAGCTCACGTAGACACCCCAGTAATGCTTGGTGATAGTGATTTTGGTGATACAAGTGCTACTGGCGATGGTGCAGGTGACCACAACACTTCGAACGCACAGAATAACTTTTTAGCGTACTACGAAGCATCCGAAGATCTTTTTGCCAACTATGAGGAGTTGAAAGACAATGTGGCATGCATTGACGATGATAATGAAGGTGAAAGTTAGCTTGAAATGGATAAAACTGAGTACTGTATAAACATAATACAAAAAGTGACTGCTATGCATCATAAGACCTTTTTACAGACTGTGTTCCGGTACAGAGTTACGTGACATGCACTGACAGCAATAATGACGATGAAAGTGAAGATGAAAATGATGAAAGCGAGTCTAATGGTGACACAAACAGTGACACTAATGTATCAACAAGAACATAAAGGAGGTAGAAGTGGAGAGTGACGAGACATGCATTAACCTTGATAGTGATGAAAGTGAGCCTGACCCAACGAATGCTTGTGAAAGTGAGCCCATAATGAAACTGAACTGGTGCCAACATCACTAATTAACGATTTAGTTGACGAAGAATCTGTGTGGCGATTTTCAGAGAGTGCAGAGAAAGACTTGATCAGTACGCGATTGATTATGACAAGGCCATGAAAGTTATACGCACTCCTCAGGATTTACGTAACTTCAAGTTGTCACGATCTTCAGGGATAATAAAACGAAGGAACTAAACAAAGTAAGATTGTAATACTATGGTCATAATACTGTTTTTACCAAAGATTATGCAAACTTTCTCAGCCTTTGTATTCATATGTTAATTAAGTTGGAGGAGGTTAATGGTGGGGGGAGAGAGTGTAGTGGTGTCTCCTTATTATTACACACTATTATACTTAACAATATTATAAATCTTTGGCTAATAATAGGGAAAACGCAATTATTGTTGGTTTGAAGCTCAAACAACTGTACATCATGGGTTGTTTTCTCATTCAACTCGCGATAAAATAATAACTATTCACAGTACTAACTTCTAGTTATCACAGTTCGCTAGGAGAGGGATTGAGCTGCAGGATAAAAAAAATTAACCCTCTAGCTTAAAAAACAATGTTATGGTTTTTGAACTTCGAAAAACTTTAAAAGCATTTTTCTCAGCTTATTAAATTTGGCGCTTCACCC